ACAGCAATTTCCATACCTGCTCGATGTCTGTTTGTGTATATTATTGTGTCGGTGTGTGATTGATAGCAACTCAGATCTGTGGCAACATTGGACCAAAATTTTAGATTTGCTTAAGTACTTCGAAGTATATGACGCTTTTAGTATGTTTCATAGTGAAATTTGCAAAACTGATTCCAAATTGCTTCTAACTCTTTGCACAAGAAGATCAAGAACAGTTTTACAATATATCATAGCTAGAAATGAGGCAATATCTTGTCACTTATATAAATTAGATGGAAATATTGGTGTTATATTATGGAAATCAAAGACTATGATGGCTTATGAACTGAAATAGTTTGTGGATGAATCCAAATAAGGGATGTTTAAAATTCAAAACATCCATCTAGAAAACCATCTTATCTAAAAGATTGAAATAACTGACTAGGGTTATAGGCAAGAAATAGCAACACATTCTCATTGGTTTGCTTATTAGTTATTATAATTCATACTTTCATTTTCTTCGTACTAGAACATTCTACTTTGAACATTCTACCCAATCATAGCAATGTCTTCAATATGCAAATCAATATTTACTGCTATAACTGGATAGATTTTCTAAGTATAACATCTAATAACAAAAATAATTCAAGATAAGCTATCATTGGGCAGATTTCTCAAAGCACAATACCTTAATAAGAAAAAAGAGATTGAAAGTACAATGCTTTAACAGAAAATACACAAATAAATGAAGGTACATTGCTGTTTCTTTAACCCTCTCAGAATCTTATTTTGTCAAACACATTCAGATTTCAAAACATCACATTTCATAGGACTAAAGAAGCTTCATCCAATCATTCAAGAACAGCACGTCGCACGGGATTAGTACAAGTTATAATCTTTGAGGCTGCAGACCGTGATAACATTGGTGGGTCCCCATACGGAGGACAAAGATCCATTTGTTGCACCTCTGATCTATCTAAAATTGAAGGCTGCAAACAAGGAGAAGTCATTAGAATCCCATCTAAAAGAGACCCCAACTGGCCTGTAACTGTCAATGTCTACTTTCGTGGACAATCCACAACTGCACAATTAAAAACCACAGAAGCTTACATCACAAAAACTGGAATGTACAACTTGTTCTTCATATCATGTGACCCAACTCTCAAAGGAATGACATTGACCGGTCAAACCTCATGGAAGAACCCTGATGGATACTTACCTGGAAGAATGGCTCCTTTGAAGAAATTCTATGTGATCATGGCTATTGCTTATCTTCTTCTTTGTGTAGCCTGGTTTTCTCAATATGTGAGATTTTGGGATGATGTGTTGCAACTTCAACATTGGATTAGTGTGATTGTTGGTGTTGGGTTGTTTGAAATGACACTTTGGTACTTTGATTATGCGTATTTTAATAACACTGGAACAAGGCCTGTTGTGATTACAACATGGGTTGTGACTGTTGGAGCTTTAAGGAGAAGTGTTTCAAGGTTGCTTATGTTGTGTGTTTCTATGGGGTATGGTGTTGTTAGGCCTACACTTGGTGGGCTTACTACAAAAGTCATGCTTCTTGGGGTAACCTACTTTTTGTCAACTGAGTTGTTGAATATTACTGAGTATGTGGGAGCTATAAGTGATAAAGCTGGAAGAGCTAGGGTTATTCTTGTCCTTCCTAATGCACTTTTGGATGCCTTTTTGATCATGTGGATTTTCACTTCTCTTTCAAAGACACTTACACAGCTACAGGTTAGGCTATTCTTTTTTTTATATGGGATACTGAGTATGTGGCTATTATTATGCATATAAGCTTAGCTGCTTAGGTGTAGTTTAACCACTCAAAACGACGTAGTTTTGAATAAAAAAATAACTTTTTTGGTTTTCTAAATAGGAGTCTCATGATTCTATAATTGGTGATTAGTTTACTAATAGTAATTTTTGATTGGTCCACAGGCAAAAAGGAGTTCTGTTAAGCTGGATACATATAGGAAGTTCTCAAATGCATTAGTAATTACAGTTGTTCTTTCAGTTGTTTGGATCGGATATGAGGTATGTATTTTGTAGATGTTTTACATAATAGACAATCACTTATCTTTTTATTTTTGCGTATTATTATAAAAGTCTTTATGATTTTGATAAATGATTTGTCGTTGAAGGTTTACTTCAAAGCAACGGATCCTTTCAATGAGAGATGGCAGAGTGGGTGGATTATCACTGCATTTTGGGACATTCTTGCATTTGCATTGCTTTGTGTTATCTGCTATCTGTGGGCCCCATCACTGAGTTCTCAAAGGTACATTACAAATATTATTATATTTAATGGAATGTTCATATGAAAATAGTTAGGAGTTAATGTGAAAAGTGTTGAACAGATATGCGTATTCAGAAGAAAAAGGTGAGGATTCTGATGGAGAAGAAAGTGAAGCACTATACAGTGGAACACCTAAAGGTGACATCAGCTTAGTCAACCAGGAAAGACGAGAAAAGAATGGTCAAAATGTGGTTGAGTTTGATTTAGAAGAGGATCATGATGCAGAAGAAGGCAAGAGAGAATGAATAATTACCAAATTGTATTCATTTGTTGTACAGATTTAATGCCAAAAAAAGAAAGAAAGAAGTAAAACTTTCAACACAGGGAGAGAAAAAAAAATGCAACATGCTTTTCGGCTTATTGTGCTTTCACTTCACAATGTTGTTGAGTTATTTTCTGTTTGCTTTACTCTCTAGTGTGGGTTCCATGTTAAGTCATTGTTGAGTTGAACTCTGGTTAAGGAAGATTGAGTCTATATGTTTTATTTTTCAAAGTTTTGTTGTTTGCTCATATGATGATTATGTACAAATAGCCTTTATTCGTTGTATGCCACTCATGGTATGTTCTTGTGGGTTTCACTTATCATTAAAAACAACCAAATTGACAACTTTGCTTGGTAGCAAGTGGTTATTTGTAATGCATGTCCTGGGAATTGGATTAGGGTTGAGAGTTAGATTTATGTCAAATGAGACATTGTAACATACATCTAACTAGTTTGAAATTGATGTCATTGAGACAAAATTATGCTACAGGCTTCCTATTGGGGAACTCTCGCTAATGTAACTATAATGATGAAGGTATCGTGTGATTTGTTAACTTGGTAGACATCTTAACAAGTTGAAGCCAAGGGGGTATTTGGTTCATAAAATGTTAATGAAATAAATCTCTAAAAGATAACAGAAGTTGAAAAAAAATCAAATGAACTTGCATGTGTTTAACCATGTGTTTGGTTGGCAAAGAATGGAATGTAAACAAGCAAATATATGCATGCAAACATGGAAAGTAGGAACCGTAAGAAATGGGTACATCAAAGGGTACAAGTGTATTTTGAGACCCAAATAATTGATCCATAACATGTATTTAGTACTATGGTGGTGATAATGGACAACTTTCGGTAATGTTTATGACATCTATTGGTCAATAAAGTATTAACTGAGAAATATTGATTGAAATACTTCTGGAATGAAATTGTTTGAAACATGAACTATGTTTACATAATGTGTTTTTGTATAATTGGAAGTAGATTGTCTAAAATGACAAGATGGCAAAGTACATTACCTAACTGAGAAATATAATTTATAGAAATGCTTGGAAGTATTCCACAAGGTATTTGGAATAAGACTTAAGTATTACATGTATGAAAATGGAATTTTGGGGACTTAAGCGTTAAAAGTGGTCAAATCTAATAGTTTTTATAAATGATGCAAATCTTGATTCATAAGTGGTATGACTATGGGAGGCTACACAACATGTGAGCTAACGTCTAAGTTGCATGGAAGCTCGTAAAATCAATGTCACATAGAGATGGAGTATGTCACACAATGTCATATAATATAGACTAGGTCTTCATAACAATTTGTAATAAAATTTCTAGGTGTTAGATATAACAAGATTCTAAAACCAAAACCAATATATTTCTGACAAAACAAGTAAAGCAAGAATTGATCGGTTTTATCTATTATATGTAATCATATATTCCATAAATGAGTAACATGGACAACCAAGAATCATGTATTTTTGATTACTTGATATACGATGGTTATATAATTGAAATAAGGACAATGAAAGAAAGCAAGAAAGAAAGGAGAATTTGAGATTGAGGAGCACCATAAGAATAAAGTGACATATACAAGAAGTTGAGAATATATTTGAAACTATTTATTAAAATATATATATATTTTATAAATTTGATAAACAATTTCCTAATTTATTAATACTAGAAGCTGTCAACTCCCCGCTTCGCGGGGGACGCAAACATGTTCGTCCATTGTCGATAGATGTTTAGTTTTGGAAACTTTTTTGGTTCACCATGTTATTTCTTTGGGTTTACATGACTAACTTCAATTTATATCGTCGTATGAAAGCGTATTATATGTGAAAAAAGTTATATGTGGGAAACGTACATAAAAATAAACACGAAAACGTACACAAAATTTACGTCGAAACGTAAAGAAACTTGAATTTACAACGTAATCTTTAAATTTTCGATTATATAGGGACTGTTTTTGTAATTTTTTTTAAACATATGGACAATGTCTGTAATCTTTAAATTTTCGATTATATATGAACCGTTTTTAAACATATGGATCATTTCTGTAATCTTGAAGTTTTCGATCATATAGGAACCATTTTTAAACATATGGATCATTTTTATAAAAAAAATATTCACATCTTTTCTGTAAATTTTAGAAAGATATTTTTTGTAATTTATTTTCTATACATGGATCAAACTTACCAACAAATAAAATTTTTGTGGCCAAAGTCCTAAAAACAAAAACTTTGTGGTCAAAGTCCTACTTTGCTTTTTATTATATAAATGTTAAAGACTAAAGAGGGACTACTTTTGTAATTCGTTCATAATTTATTTGGCACTCTTTGTTGGGACCAAGTATTTCACTTTCGCCACTTCAAAACTCACTGTTCGTTTCCCGCCTCCTTGAACACATCTCTTTCTTCCTCAAGCCTCCACTCACTTTCCGCTCTAGCTCACACGCTAATGGAGGATTCAGCCACCATCACAGAATCTTCACTCCTCTCCAAGCTCCAATCGTCCTCTGATCTCTCCTCCATCCACCAACTATTCTCTCTTTACCTCCACCCCTTCTCAGCCATCATCAATAAACCCAATAAACAGTCCAAATCTTCAAAAACTAATGCGGAAACATCAACTATCATCCGTTCGCTCGCCAAAAAGTTCCTTTCATTCCTTAGCAAATCCTTGTCTTTAATACCGAAACGCCTAAATGAAACCCCCAAAATCGATTCTTGTTACGCATCCGAACTGTTTGAAGCGTACAAGCTTTGTCTACGTTGTTTGGAATCGGTTTCTTCGGAGCTGTCGTGTAAACCCCATTCCGTTCAGATCCAGCGGGTTCGGTTGATACATTGTTATGAAAATTGGGGGAGATATGAAGATGCACAAAATGAAGGGTTTTCTGTGCTCGAGTTTATTGGGAAATTAGCCGATAAAGGAAGTGTAAAGTTAAAGCGAGGGGTTATCCCGGAATTAAGAAACGAGAATTGTGACAAGGAGGTTGCAATGTTGATCCTGGAAGTAGCTGTGACCCTTATTAAGTGTGTTTCAAATGGTAGAAGCAAAGATGAGGAAGATTATCCGAGACTACTTTCTATGGTCGATGAAATCCAACCATGGTTGAGGTATAGTGCATACTTGCAATTTTAATGTTTATAATTGGATCATGGATAGTTGTCAGCATGCTATTGCGATGATTTCATCAACACTGAATTGAGCAGTAATCATCTTTTAACAACACCAAAGAATTGAAGTAATCTTGAAGTTATTCTTTTATGTATTTAGCAGCTAGAACACGATTCTTTGCTTAAAGCCATACTAGGATGTGCAGACACAATCCCTTGTATCTAAGTGCATCAACTGTAGGAATTTTATCTGAAATGTTAGGTTGTAAACATGACAGGGTTGTTGATGTGGATGCATATGAGAAGCTACAAAAAATGCTTGTGACATATCTGAATAAATGTACATTGTTTCTGGTTGGAGAACTTGCAAGCTTTGATGGGAGCCTTGTCCATAGATTTTGTGTTTTAACATTTTCAGAGTTTAGAAAATCGTCCATGAATGATCAGATGGAAAAGGTGAGATGCCATTTTTAACATCCACCTCACCAGTATCCTGTTGAAGTTTAATTGGTTTTATGTCTTATATATATGTTCTCTTTGCAGTTTGGACATAGGATATGCAGTTCAGTTTTTTCCCAACTGGATGACAAAATTATGTGCAGTGTAGACATACTAACTTGTGTGTTGGATGCTATGGCTCATGAATGCAAGGTAATCTTCTAACAATTTGTTGTGTTTACTTCATTGTGCCATTTTGCTAGGGAAAAAAAAACTCTAGAGTATGTTAGGTTTGAACAATGCAAGATTATATTAATATTTATTGAACATAAAAGAAGAAACTAGACTTTGATATGCGAACTTTGCTTCATTCTTTTAGCCCATATGAAGTTTAACCCAATATTTATCAAGTTACATCTGAGTCAATGCTTCCTAAAAAAAGAGAAATTGCCTACTCTAGAAAACCTCCTTAAAACAAGAAATTACATAAATGTACAACAGAAAGAAAGTCTCTATTGGGCCTATATGAAAACATAAGTTACCAATAATATAATGACCAAAAATGAGAACAAAACATCCATAAAACTGTTTTACCAAAACCTTACCTTTGACAGAATTCTCTCCCTATATTTCTTATTTATCTTGTGATCTTCAAAAGATTGATATGTTAAGTCCACTATAAAGATACTAGGAACTACTGTTAATGGAAATCATAGTAGACATAACAAAACTCCAGAGGCATAGATTTAACACCAATGAAACATGAGGGAAAAAGGTATGATCATAGCTATTAGTTAAGAGGCTCTGACTCGATTAACATTTTTCTATAACTGAACTTGATTTTTTTGAATTAATCAGGTTATTATTTTTGACACATGATCCGGAAAAACTTTAGAGACAAAAGGTCTAGATAACTATCACAGTTTTGAACCACATAACGATCACAGAAAATTAGTTGAGATGAATTTGTTACTAATCTACAATCTCACTTATTCTTTTTGTAAGAAAATTAAAAAGCCTTTGGAAAATGATGTTTTTTTTCTTACTTACAACATGAATTGTTGTGGCATTATAGTCAACTAGAAGAACAAGGCATTATAGTCCATGCATTGTTGTGGCATTTTGTTTGTTTCTCATGAGTAATGGTAATTCCATTTTAATTTATATGCACCAAATAGGAATTTGCTTTATTTGTTATAATTATGATTGGCAGAATGGCAAGGACAAGTCCCATGTGGAGTTTTTGGAACTTGCAGAATATTGTGCCATCAAATGTCGAAATGCAAATGTTGATTTTTGTAATGCAGTTGCAACTCACTTTGACAAATTAGCAACTGAATTTTCTCAGGTACTTGTTAACATGTCATTTTTTTACTTGAACATGTAACTTTTATGTTTTCCAGTTTTAATAACAGTCTGTTTGTAGGTCAATTTATCACCAGTTGATTTGATAATGAGGCTTTATGCTATCACATTGTCTATGGGCGACTTGAATTCTTACACAAATGGGGGCAACACCAAGATACCAAAATCTGGAAAGGACATTTCTATCCTCAACATTTTGCTTAAAGTGGAAGATCAGCTACAAACTTTAAACACCACAGATGGATTATTAACGCAAATGACCTACGTGCCCTTGTACTTTACTGCATTAAAGTTCTTGTGTGGGCCACTTTCTGAGCTGATTATCTCTGAACGAAAAGATATACTTTGTGGACTTGAAGACGTCTCTTTTTCTATTAAGCTACCTAATATACAAGATGCTTTCAATCAGTTTGGACTTGTTTTTCTCACATATCGGTAAGTCTAATGACATTTTCTTTAATGCAATTCATTTTTACATTCTAATTTAACAATTAACAAACTTCTTTTCTTTAATTAATGAATGCAGGGCATCTGAAAAGGAACGAGATGTATATGAGGACAACAGGCGAACTGTACTTGCTGTAGCTGCAGCTTCTTTCACACTCTCATTTGCTACACAGAAAAATGTCAAGGTTCCTTTTTTTAAAGCATCACATTTACATATTATCTTGTTTGTCTTCTTGATGAATGATGAGTTCAGATCCAAAGTATATATTGAGGTTATGTTTTTCTTTACTCATTGCAGGAGAGCACTAAATTTCTTAAGCATCTTATTTCAGCAGATTGGGTCAAAGTCAATGGATTGCAATATCTCTTTGCCACTCTACACAATGTTGGTATAGTGTTGTACAGAAGCAATAGATTAAAAGAGGTATTTTACATAATGTACATTTACCTTTTGTATTCTACAAGTCTACAACCACAGTTACATACAGTATTATGTTGTTTGTCTTTTTGATGATTGTGTTTTGTTTGTAGGCTACAAAGTTATTCAAATTATGTTGTAAAGCAGCATGGAACTGTGTATTACACTTTTGCAAGACGTTTACTTCAAGTAGAGATGGATTTTCCAGTGATCTGACAGAGGATACCATAGTTGGTTTTGTCACAGAGGCATGTGCAAAAAGTGCTTTTTTGTTGGACATACTTTATCAGTGTGGTAGTAACAAGATAAGTAAGATTTTCATGGATTGTCTTGGAAGTTGGTCTGTTGGTCAAAGCTTGTTTGACCAGATTCCGACCCCTATAGCACTGATTAAACAATGGGTGAAGGTGAGTTACAAAAAAGTGTTTTTTGAGTTTTGATATATTACTCTACATCTTCTTTGCTATCTGATGTCTTTTGTTTGCAGATACAATGTAAACAGATAAAAGACCCTGAAGCTGGGCATATGATTCCAACCATATATTCGCAGATGTCTTCTATAAATATATCAAAAGAAGCTTTTGGCATCTTATTGGAGCAGGTTCTCTCTATCTTTCTACCATTTGTAGTTTTCTATGAACTTCTTTTTATATAAATATAAATGTTAAGATCCATTACTCTCTTGTTCAGGAGCTTGAAGCGTATAAGGAAATGAAGATTCTTAATCCAACATTATGTAAAACAATGCAAATGACTATCACAAACATTCTCTTAGAAGAGATCTATAGTACAAAAGATAATTATTTACAAAAATCAAGAATTCTCATTGCAAATGCAAGGGAATCACGAGCACATGGAGTTGAAGGCCTAAATGACTGCAGTAAATATTTATCTGAAGCAATATCTATAATGGTCAGTTACTCAATTTGGCTTCTACTTTGTTTATGTTTTCTTATTCTTGTTTGATTCAACAATTTATTTTGCACTCATTGAGCCAGAATGACTATAAGAGCAAGGATGACAGTGGTTCAGCTTGTCATGTATTAGCCGAGGCTTACTGCTTGCATGCATTATGCACCCAAGAGGCAGATCCAAACTCAAAGGTTGTAGATTTTTTGTTCATATATCTTTTTATCATATTATTAATCTCTTGTTTCCTATTTACTTTTCAAACAGAATTTTATTCAAGATGTTGGCAATGCCTTAAAGCTATGGTTGAGTCAAGAACATTTCCAATCTGATGAACATGCTCAAAATACTCTTATCTTGCTGTACCATGTTGCTGATTTTCTATCACTTAAGGTTCTTTTTTTTGTTGGAGTTTATAGTTATTATGTTTATTATGGTGCCTTATTGTTTATTATCTTCTCTTATTATAGGGCTACATGGAAGATCATTCTAACATATACGAGACAATGATCAAAATTATTACATGGAAGAATATGCCTTTAAACAAGTGGTTGACCATGCTTTGGCAATCCAGAAGCCTTAGTCATGCACTTTGTGCTTCACCTGTGAATGATGCATTCATCATGACATTGTCAAATCACTGTAACTTGTCAAAGTCTATGGAGTTCTGGATAAGTTGCATGAAGGGATCAAAATCACTTGAAGTTGGATTTCAACAGAGTTTGTCACTCATTTCTACTCTTTCCTCTCCAGATTCTTGTAAGCATAATCATGCTATCCAACCACATATAACAACTGATGAAGTCAAACAAGCTGCTTCTGATCTCATTAACAGTGTATGCTCCTTGGATATATTATATATCACGATCTCTGTGATTACATATAGAATTATCTATACATATGCTGATGTTTTATCCATTATCACTTCTTGTTTTAGGTTCCTCTGTCCACCAACTCATTGTTCTTTGCTGCACATCTCTATTATGATTTGGGTGAAAGAATGATTGCACAAGGTTTAATGATTGAGGTACTTTGATTTGCTCTCAAATCTTGTACATCATAGATCTACCATTTGCATATTGTGCTACTTTTTGCTTCTGCATCTCTTATTTCCCTGACTTGTAATTTTACATATGCTGAAATCTATAATAATTTAATGGAACTCTCTTTTTTGGCTAGTCTATATAGGTTAATTGGAAAATATACAACCAATTGTGTTTGCACATGTGATTTGTTTATGCATGAGGCCAACTTTAATGGAACATGATTTTTGTGATTTGGTGTGAAAATGTACTCTAATCACACTTCATTTTCATCACCAAAATGGTGCTAATGAATAGTAACACACCGATTTGGTGTTTTCCTGTTCACTTTACACTAAAAACATCTTGTTGATTTATAGTCATGTTTGTTGCTACTTGCTAGTTTCTACGTCTGTTGCATATGAGTAATTGGCATTGTTTCATTAGAGAGAAATAATTATTTTTTAGGATTTTTAGTTTGGCCTCATATCTTACTCTGTCTATGAAAAAGTGTCTTGCTTAATTCTACCGAGACAATCATCGCCATTCACAGTGTGAACTTTTAGTTTTAGTAGATTATTCTATTCACCTAAAACTTAATATCTTTTGATGAGTCATCTCTTTTCTTTAGGCTCTTTGTTATGCAAAAGAAGCTCATCGTTTGCGCACCAAACTTCTTCAAAAAAGTTTTATGTACTCAATAGAGCAACAAAATGACATGGTTGGTGTTAATGGGGACTCCATTCAGAAACACAAATATGTCCTCAAGACTTTCCACATGCATCCTTCAGTGGCTACATCTGCTTGGTCATATGATAAGGGTTCTTTTGACTTTGAGGACTGTGTAGTAACCCCATGGAATGTACTTCGAGTTTATCTTGAAAGCACTCTTCAGGTATAATTGCCAACCTTTTAGTATTATTACATTGAAATATGTTTCATGTTTGTGTAAATTGTATTGTAATTCAGATAGGAACCCTTCAAGAAATAGTTGGAAATGGATCAGAGGCTGAATCTCTTTTACTGTGGGGAAAAAACATTGCTACTTTCCAATCCTTGCCAATCTTTATAGTTGGATTCTCTTGTGTTTTGGGTACACACTTCTTTCCTTTTGTATTCTCTCATATATGTTCAAGCTACATTTGTTTAATTCACTCAATGCAGTCAATAGGTATCCAATTGAAAATCCATTATATTTTTCCAGGAAAGCTTTATGGTAAGCAACACCATTGGCATTTAGCTGAAAAGGAACTGGAAAGTGCCAAACATATGTTGGCTGATAGTTGCAGGCTTGTTTCTTGCTTGAAGTGCAGATTAGTTTTAGAAGTTACAATTGATCAGCAACTTGGTGATCTATTCAGAATCCGTTTCAAGAGCACTAATAAACTGTTAGAGGGGTTGTCAAAAGCTGAAGCTTTTTATAGGTCTGCTACAGACAAATTGAAAGTTTCTGAATGGAAAAATTGTGTTAGTGATTGTGAGGAATCTGGTGCAAGAAACACAATTTTCTGTGATGCACTTTCGATTGGTGAAAATCAAGTTGAACAAAATGATGAATCCCAAATTAATGGGAAGGAAACCATTCGACCCAAAGTAACTAGGAAGAGTAAGAAAAGTGCTAAGCCTTTACCAGAGAAAAATACGACTTCCAGAATTACTAGATCATCTAAACAAAGGGGTGAAGTTACTTGTGTTTCTGATGAAGGAAAGTGTTGGCATTGTCTTCCTTCTGAAGTTATGAAATCCAAATTGTTGACAAGTATTCTACAAATGAAATGGGAGTGCATTCGCAGACGCCTTTTGCTTAGACTACTCACTGGGATAGGTATGATAAAAATAACCTGAAAACTTTACCTTTTTGTCATCATAGAAATGGAGAAAATACTCATGTAATTTGCATAAGCCACTGCATGTCATGTTCACATTTAAAAAATAATTACAATGTCTCAGAACAGTCTTGTACATGGGCAGGAAAATGTTTGGGGATTCGTGGTGAAATTCAGAGAGCACATGAAGTATTTATGGAGAGCATATCTGTGTTAGTCCACAGAAGCACATTTCACCAATCACATTTCTCAGTTTCCATTGCTTTCTTGGCTGAGTTGGTTGAGAAGAATGTAACAGGAGATGTCTTTGCAGTTGAGCATGCATCAATTCTGTATAACGTATGTTGGTTTTCACTAAAAAACTTATGTGACAAGGGTACAAGGTATTACTAGAAAACTATTCTTCTCAATTTGATTTATGAAAAAGTTGTTAAATGAATTTGTATTTCTTATGAAAGTTGCATATGTCTTTTGATTACACTAATGCACCATCTCTTTTGCTCTTGTTTTTTCTAGGCATGATGGTTATGACATGTTGATGATTCCCATAACAACAATTGTGTCTGGATTGAAGTTATCCTTTATACTTTGTCGTGAGGTTCCTGTGCTCTTTCAAAAGGTTATACCTTTTTCCTTCCATTGTTTTGCATTTCTTCTTTAAAAAATCAAATCAAAGGAAGTTTATTGGTTCATGAATTGAGAATTGACAAATTCTTTTAAGAGGTCTTTGGTGATATTTCAACCGTATAGAACTTAGGTTTGACACACCTCTATGATGTTTTGCATATATGCCATAATGCCATATTAGATATTGATGATTGTTCAAATTCAATGGTTTCATTACAACAAACTTCCACATTCTAATTATGTTTGTTTTTGGCCATTGATAATGACATCACAGGTTTCACGGTTGCTTGCTATGTTGTATACACTTTCACCTTCAAACAAGGCATTGTCCATGTTGTCATCTTCCAGCAGTGTTCTATCAGAAAGCCAGTGGGCATCATTTTTCCATCAAGCATCACTTGGAACTCATCTACATCATCAATTGGTTTCTCGTATTGGAAAACACAAAGACCAAAACACCACTGCTGATATTCATGTAAGTATTTTGAACAAAAAAAATATATTTGTTGCAATTATAAATTGTTCATATGTTGGTGCTTTTTTCTATTACATGTTACTTATCTATGTGGTGCACTGTATCATGTCTCTAGTTAAGGAATTTATTTTATTCTTCCAACTAAGTTTAGATATAGTATTGATTATGAATTTAGCTCGAAAATGGGCAACTGTTAATTTGCACATGATTTTGTGTCATATTTTTGTTTTCAGGGTACTTGTCTCAACTTGCTTAGAGTGGCACCAGAATTCATTCTGGATCTTGAAGGATTTGTATTGAAGTTTTATAAAGGTCTCCCCTGCACAACGATTATCTGTATTAGCATGCTTGGAGATGATTACACCACCTTGTTGAGAGAATTATTGCCCTATAATCCCTCTACTCATGCTTGGATTATATTGTCTCGTTTGAATTCTGATACCATACCTATTATCACACTTCTGCCTATTAATTCAATCTTAACAGGTAACAAAACTTGTTCACAATTGTTCTATATCATGTGCTTTTGCACTAATCTGATGTTTGTTTGATACCTTTAGAAAGTTCAGAAGGCAATGAAGATTCAAGTTCCAGTTTCTTATTCAACAAAAAGAATTGCAACAAATCATGGCACTGCCCTTGGGGACACACCATTGTTGACAATATTGCACCATTGTTCAAAACAATCTTGGAGGAAAATTACATATCATCTTCAGTGTACCCTTTGGAGGATACTAAAGAGAACAGGTCATTATGGTGGGGTCAAAGGAGAAAGCTTGATCAATTGCTAGGTGATCTTCTGAGGTGAGGAAGATTTACTGTTTTTTTTTTTACTCCTAAATACAGTTTTAGTTGGATTAATATGAAAAAGATAAATTTCTTATTTCTTCAGAGACTTGGAAGATTTATGGTTTGGGCCTTGGAAGGTGTTGCTTTTGGGGGAGTTTTCAGACAACAAGCACATTGACTCTGTACACAAGAAATTGATGAATGATCTGAAATTTGAGAGTAAAGTTGATGTACGTGAAAGCATTCTCAAAGTGATAATCGGAGGTGGTGGGCCCCATGCTGCCTCTCAACATGAGGAATGGGTATCAGAGATGATCATGAAGAAAGGATGTTATGTTGGTGGAATAAAATGTGAAGAAAGAATTGACACCTTATCTTCTTCTGTTTCAGAACTGATACTAGATGCAATCCGTGGAATTGAGGAAGAAGATAGAGAACCTGTGATATTAGTTCTAGACTTTGACATCCAGGTAATCTATTTTCAATGAAAAAGACATGAATGCCCTTCTCATGTTCATGTTTGTCTGTTTTGATATGATAACATGTGATGTGGATGCACAGATGCTACCATGGGAAAATCTGCCAATACTAAGAAACCAGGAGGTGTATCGCATGCCTTCTGTTTCAAGTATTTCTTACACATTTGATAGATGTTGTCAATATCAAGAAAAGTCTGCATTCTTTCCTATGATTGATCCACTGGATGCATACTATTTGCTCAATCCAGGTGGCGACCTTCCTAGCACCCAAGCTGAATTTCAGCATTGGTTTAAAGATCAAAATTTGGAGGTAACACATTTTACCCTTTTTGTCTTTTATAATCTTGATTCTTGAAATGATTTCATTTTAAAATCTAAGCAGGGGACAACTGGTACTTCACCTACAGTGGATGAACTGAGCATGGCCTTAAAAAAACATGACCTTTTCATGTATTTCGGCCATGGAAGTGGTATGTATGCTTTTTATTTTATTTTTTTAATAAAAATTTATGCATCTGTATTTTTTGAAAATACCTAATTGTATTATTTATGATATGGTGATAATTAGGAGTGCAATATATCCCGGGTGATGAGATACAAAAACTTGATGGGTGTGCAGCTACACTGTTAATGGGGTGCAGCAGTGGATCTTTATCTTTAAACGGATCATACAGCCCAAAAGGAGCCCCGTTGTATTATCTATTTGCAGGATCACCTGTAATAGTTGCCAACTTATGGGAGGTGACAGATAAAGATATTGATAGATTTGGTAAGGCAGTTCTTGATGCCTGGATTAAAACAAGATCAAGCAGCTCTACAGATTGTGCACAATGCACTGAAATTTCGGATAGGTTAAAGAACATGAACATAGTAGATGATGATGATGGTGATAAAAGAAAAGGGGGGAAGAAGAAAACATCAAGAAAGAAATCTGTTGAATGTTGTGAAGTTAATAGTAATAATAATAACAATAGTAGTTGTAAACATAGACCAAAGATTGGGTCGTTCATGGGACAGGCTAGAGAAGCTTGTACACTTCCTTTTTTAATTGGAGCTTCGCCTGTGTGTTATGGTGTTCCTACAGGTATTAGAAACAAGGATTTGTGAGCCTTTCATTTCATTTCATTGGCTTTTGTATTCTTTAGTCTATATGAGCAAAGCAATAGAATGTAGAGTGAAATCTGTATTTATGTATCAATATGTACAAGACGAATCAAATATAATGAAAAAAGTACAGATAGATCATTGTTAGTTAAGAACGAAATTTGATGATGGTGGTAAACGGCCTTGTAAATATGGGGTGGTGTAGGATTCTATCATGGGAAGGGAACCTATGGATTTTAACTTTTTTATGGAAATGACTTTTCTAATCTCACTTGAGAATGAGATAATGCTTCTAACTAACTAATAGAGGATGAATGGTACAGGACAGATTATTTTGCCATTGTTTCATCCTTTTCATCATCTTATTTGGTATGTGAGTATTTTTAAAGTAGGTATTTTCATTTAAAATTAGATTATATAAAAACTGTATGCTTTTATGAGAGGAAGATAGTCTTGAAATCTATAAGTTTTGGATTATATTTGATATTTTAAAATTAAATAACATTGTTTCTGTTGTGAAGTACGACGGATCCAAATTGACTTAAATAATATTAGCTCAATGCGGAATGGGATCAAAAATTATCAAAGTGTAATAATCACAACGAAATACGAGTAAAATAAATAGAATAGAGACACAGGAATTTACGTGGAAACCCAAATCGGGAAAAAACCACGGGCGGAGGAAGCCGAGAAACAATTCACTATAATTTGCAGTGTTTACAGGAATTATGAAAGAGATTACAAATAGAGTGAGAGGGCTAAAATATATGGTGGTGTATCAGTATATATATATATATATGTAATGTTTTACTATATATATATATTTTGATTGTTGGGTTATTTTCTCTGGTTCATGGCTTAGACTATTTATAGCCAAAAACAATATAATATGAATTGTAGAAAAAATGTGCCGTCCGAATTCCAATTGTAGGCGCCTACCAAAAATTCACCGTCCAAATCAAATTCACATATATATACTACTATTCATAGTCAAGCTATGAATAGTGAAAGATAGACGTCCAATTTCATTTCAATTAACATATATATTACTATTCATAGTCAAACTATGAATAGTAAATGATAAGTTACTGAAATAACACCTGAATTATTTGCCACTTGCTAATTTTGGAGGCAACTTTTCCACAATCTCCACCTTGACATCAAAATTAAGCAAGTCATGCTTTACGATTAGTCAAAACCTATAACTCATCAAACTCTAAAACTTCCATAAGAACCTGCAAATTTTATATAGAGAAAAAAATTGTTTCCGAAAAATAAATAATACTTCCTCCACCTACGAGCCTTCAGGCTCAACTGCGATCAGAAACACCCACCATGTCCAAACATAATTTGAACTTGGCTATAGGAAGACTTTTAGTGAACATATCCGAACACCCCAGTGTTAGATTTACCAAAACGTAAACACATAGAAGACGTACCACGTAAATAACGAAAAATCCACTGTACTGCTTTCCAGTGTTCTTTCCCCGGGTTCGCCATGTATCTACTAACCATGCTAACAACATAAGCCAAATCAGGGCGCGTGCAGATCATAGCATACATCAAAGATCCAACAGCACTAGAGTATGGAACACGTGCCATGTAAGCCATATCAGTCTCATTAGTAGGACTCAAAGCGGATGATAGCTTGAAATGAGCTGCAAAAGGTGTGTTGACAGACTTTGCTTCGTGCATACTGAAGCGTCTTAGGACTTTCTCAATATAACTTTTCTGAGAAAGATGCAAGATCCTAGACTTCCTGTCACGAATAATTTCCATACCTAAAATCTTTTTGGCAGCTCCTAAGTCCTTCATTTCAAATTCAGCTTTCAACTGGTCTTTTAACTTCTGAATCTCCTTCATATCTTTTGCTGCAATCAACATGTCATCCACGTACAAGAGTAAGTAGATCTTTGAACCATTGTCACCTTTCTTGAAATAAACGCAGCTGTCATAGGTGCACCTGCTGAATTTGTGACTGGTCATGAAAGAATCGAACCTCTTGTACCATTGTCTAGGAGACTGCTTGAGGCCATAAAGAGATTTGTTCAACTTGCATACGTAGTTCTCCTTTCCAGGAACTACAAAACCTTCAGGTTGTTGCATAAAAATCTCTTCCTCAAGCTCACCATTTAGGAAAGCTGTAGTGACATCAAGTTGTTCTAACTCAAAATCGTTAGAAGCAACCAACCCCAACAATACACGAATGGAAGTATGTTTGACAACTGGGGAATAAATGTCAGTGTAATCAATACCAGGAATCTGACTGTAGCCTTTAGCTACTAACCGAGCTTTGTATCTTGGTTTATCATTTGGGTTGACAGGTTCCTTGAGCTTGTAGACCCACTTGCATTTAACTGGTCTCTTCCTTTTCGGAATAGGAACTAAATTCCAAGTACTGTTTCGCTGCAAGGATTCCATCTCATTTTGCATAGCGAGCATCCAATCATTTGAGTCTTCAGATTTGATAGCCTCGTCATAATTCGCAGGCTCCGTTGCGTACTCAATATTATCAGCAACAATAAAAGCATAGGCAACCAAATCAGATTCAGCATACCTCTTCGGAGGAATAATCTGTCTTCTCGGTCTATCTCTTGCAATGCTTGGAGTAGTAGCTTGTGGTTGTGAAGGTGTTGAATCTTCACCAACAACATGCTCATCCGACGAAGAAGAATCTTGATGCTGATTTGTACTCTGATTAGTGGTAGGTGAAGTAGGAAGCTCCACCTCCATTTGAGCATACTCTTTATTTGCTTCGGATGATACATCTGATGCATCTGTTCTTTTAGAAAAGTCAGCAACTGGTTGAATCATAGCAGACTCATCAAAAGTAACATCTCTTGAGATGATAATTTTCTTCAAATCAAAGCTCCATAACTTGTAACCCTTTACACCTTGATTGTACCCAAGAAAAACGCATTTGATTGCTCTTGGTTCTAGCTTCCCATTGTCAACTCGTGCATACGCTGGACATCCGAATGGTTTTAAATCTGAATAATTGGCAGGTTTACCGGACCATAACTCAAACGGAGTTTTCTTCTCGATTGCTCATGACGGTGATCGGTTGATAACATAGCAAGCAGTCGAAGCAGCCTCCGCCCAAAAAGACTTTGGCAATTTGGAATTAGAAAGCATACACCGGACCTTCTCCATAATGGTGCGATTCATCCTTTCAGCTACACCATTTTGTTGAGGTGAATGGACTACTGTGCGATGTCGAGTAATGCCTTCCTTTAGACAATAGACATTAAACTCTTCTGAGCAAAACTCAAGTCCATTATCCGTACGAAGATACTTTACCACCAGACCTGATTGCTTTTCAACCTGAACTTTCCAATTTCTGAAGGTATAGAAAACGTCTCCTTTATGTTTTAAGAAGAAAGACCACACCTTCCTGGAGAAATCATCAATAATGGTGAGCATATAAATAGCTCCACCTTTTGAAGCAACTCGAGCCGGTCCCCACAAATCCGAGTGAACATAATCAAGTGGTCCTTTCGTTGTATGGATGCCACTTGCAAACCTCACTCGTTTTGCCTTGCCATATACACAGTCTTCACAGAAAACCAAATCAACAATCTTTTGTTGACCAAGTAAACCTCTTCGACTCAATTCTGACATGCCTTGAAAACTCATATGGCCGAGTTGAAGGTGCCAAAGACGGGACTGATCTGGATCAGAAAGAGACTTTGAAACAACAACAGCATCACTCGAAATTGTTTGCCCGTCAAGAAAGTAAAGATCTGAGGTTTTTCGTTTGGCTCTCAGTTTGTCGGAGCCGTCTTTGAAAACCCTGAGAACTCCACCTTTACCAGCAAACTCGTATCCCCTTTTGTCAAAGGAACTGAGAGATAACAAGTTTCTTCTGAGGTCAGGAACATATCTAACATCCCCCATGGTTCGAATAACTCCGTCAAACATACAGATCCTAACTGAACCATGTCCAAGAACTGGACATGTAGTATTGTTACCCATCAACACATAGCCCTGGTTAACCTTTTCAAATGTGTAAAACCAACTTTTGTTGTGACACATATGAAAAGTACAACCAGAGTCGAGTATCCAATCACCAGTGGAATCCAGTTTATCTGAATAAACTGTCAAAAGTTCTCCAATACCTTCCACCTCAGCTACATTGGCTTCACCCGAAGTGCTAGCTTGTTTACCATTTGCTGCCGTCTTCTCTTTTTCTTTATTCTTCAACTTGAAGCATTCTTCAAGCACATGTCCCTTCTTGTGACAATAGTTGCAAAACTTTCGTTTGCCTTTTGATTTGGATCTGGTTCTGTTGGAAGATTGAGAAGTTCTACTTCTCTCTGTTGTTCTTCCTCTGGCATTCAAACCTTCGGCTTTAGCATCACTTGAACCACCACCAGTAATATGCTTCATCTTCTCTTTGGAATCCAAAGCTGTATAGACTTCATCTAAAACTAAGTGTCACGGCTATAGATAATAGTATCACGAAAATGGCTATAGGATTCTGGCAACGACGACAGTAAGAATAAAGCCAAGTCTTCATCTTCATACTGAACATCCATATTCTCTAAGTTATTTACTAACTCTTTAAATGTGGATATATGTTCAGTTAAAGAGCCTCCTTCAATCATCTTGAGATTGAACAACCGTTGCTTCAAATGCAACTTTTTTGGTAAGCTCTTGGTCATCAACAGTTGCTCCAACTTTAGCCATAAAGAAGCCGCTGACGTTTCTTTTAGAACATCTTGCAAAACATCGTTTGACAAGTGCAAACGAATCTGGGATAAAGCCTTCAGATCTTTCATCTCCTTTTCTTCTTCGGTCCATGTATCGGGCATCTTATTGAAATCCAAAAGCGCCTTGTGTAAATCCATCTGAATGAGAATGTCTCTCATCTTTACTTGCCACAACGGAAATCGTGTGTTACGATCCAGTAGTGGAATATCGTATTTTACCGAAGACATGATTAATTACTTGATAAAATGATCCCAATGAGCTAATATTACAACCCGGATGCTCTGATACCA